ATGAGCTGGCTCCTTTCCTGCTCTCCCCCTGCCTGCCTGGCCCCCCTTCTCCTCCCCACTGATTTCATTTACTTCACTTAATTAGCCCCCCTCCAGAGTTAAAAAGATAATGTGATAATGACGATGTGAACAGCCACAATACAGCGAAAGCTACTCCAACTGCGGCTTCCCCAGCCCCCGGCCCCCTGCCCCCATGGCCCCTGATGCCACGGAGCCGGCCACCTCAGACCCAGGGCACCGGCACTGCCCAACTCCCTGACACTCCAACTCCGGGGGAAAACACACAGAAAACCAACCAAATAAAAACAAAAAAATGAAACACAACACAAATAAACAAGCCCTTAACGAATTGCAATTATGAGCTTTGTAAAATCGATACAAATGACATTTCCCCTTGTCACAGAGATACGGACAATAGTCCTCCTGCTCTGCCCTCAATAGAGTTGGCAATTAACAGCCTCTCCCATTACCGTAGACTTAATAGAAACCCCGTAGCGGGCGAATCCATAGTGTCCCAGTTTATTGCCCCGCTCTTTCGTCCTCACTACCAATCACTGGGCGTGGAGAAATAACAACAAGATAGCGCCTAAAATTAGGAAACAGTTTTCTTCTCTCACCCCCCAAACCAAGTAAGAAAATAGGTGACTTAGAACTTCCAAAGGGAGATGACAACATCACCTGTCTTCCCCACCTTGGACAGCAGTTCAGAGAGGGAGAGCAACTTGCCTGAGGCCACACAGCAAGTTGTGTGACCGCATCCTGTGCCTTGAGGGACAGCCCCTCGGGTACACACACACTACTTGGGCGTGGTGCAGGCTCTACTGCAGGCATCTGTCCCTCTGGTGGGTGGCATTCTTACCAAGGAAGTCAGAGCTGCCTGCCAGTCTCCTGGCTCCGACCTGCAGTGGTGATGGCACCCAGTTCTGGGGAAAAGATGGAGTCTACCATCCAGGCTCAGCACCTACGGTGGGCCAACAGCTCTCCAGATTTGACCTAACACAACCCATTTCACAGAAGAAGTTGAGGTTCAGGGAGGCTGCTGCTTTCACAGCGGTGATGGAGCCAGGATGGGGACTCAAGCCGGGCACCAAAGCCTAGACCCTCTATAACAGTGATGGCGAACCTTTTGAGCTCGGCGTGTCAGCATTTTGAAAAACCCTAACTTAACTCTGGTGCCGTGGCACATATAGAAATTTTTTGATATTTGCAACCATAGTAAAATGAAGACTTATATTTTTGATATTTATTTTATATATTTAAATGCCATTTAACAAAGAAAAATCAACCCAAAAAATGAGTTCGCGTGTCACCTCTGACACGTGTCATAGGTTCGCCATCACTGCTCTATACCAACCTCTGCCAGGTCTCCAGGGGTTCAGCCCCCATCAGATCCAACTCACCACCCAACTGGCCACCTGGGGCACCTCCGACCTTTCCTACTCCTCCCGATCCACCTTCTCTAGCCCATAATCTACCGGTTGATGCCTATTCTCCTGCCACCTCCTCCTCCAGGATGTCTTCCCAGATTAGTCCAGACCAGGCCTTTATCACTACCTCCTTCAGTTCCAATTTGCTTGGCTCTCCCTGCCTAGCAGGAGGTCCCTCAGAGTGACCTCAGGCCAGTGCTTGGCTTTCCAATAAGGAAACTCATTTTCACCATAAATACCAATCTTGATCACTGGTCGTGACTGCCTGAAGCACCGAGACACATCCACAATCAATTAGTGATGCCTGCCAAGGGCACAGAAGGGGCATGACAATAGGGCCCTTAGTGGACCCCTCTAAGCTCCCAGAGGGCATAGGTTGCCTTGTCCCTTCAGCATCCTCCTGGGGCCACAGTCATTTTTGGAGCACCTCCCCTGCTCCAGGTCCTGCTGCGATACCTGGTCTAGAACCCAGATGGGCCATAGTCCAGACTAAAGCTCTTACTAGTAGCCTGTCTGGATCTGGAGCATCCGTCCAGGGCCTGCCACCCCCGAGCCTGTAACTTTGAGCCTCGCTTTCTGGTCTATACAATGAGGGTGCTGGTCTCAGGCTCCCCAAGGTCCCTCCCAGGTCTGCCTCGGAGGGCTTACATTGTGAGGGCTCCCAAGGGCAGACTGAGACAAAAGGGCTTTTAATCAGATGTGAATAGAGGTAAGAGACAAAGGTAAGAGAGGGTAAAAGGCAGCAGCTAATCAGCACTATTGTTCTCCGCAAGGCCTTTCCAAGAGCGTTTCAATTAGGTTGTTTCCATCACAGCCCAGCCCCACAGAGGAGAGAGGCCGAGGCCACGAGGCCACGTGCCACTCCCCACACTTCCGGAGGCAAACCCTAACAGCTCAGAGCCCCAAGGATGGACTCCCCCCACGCCTATCACACGGCACCTGGGGAAACAGGCCCAGGAATGACAAGTCCAAGGTCACTGGGCAGGGCAGGGCCGCCCTGGGGTGAGAACCCCAGCGTCCTGCCTCCCGCACCAGCCCCCTTTTCCAACAGCTGAAATCTGCCATCGGCTCTCTTTGGATTTTAGGATCTTCGTTAAACGTCTTGAAGGGCGAAGGCCATGATAACACCTCAGCCTGGATTTATCTGGTTTATCTTTTTAAATCGACCCTAAGCAAAGCGGTATGAACACCTGCCAACACAGGGAACCCCACCCCCACGGCCGCATTTAAAAGTTCAGGTACTCAGTTCCAGGGCTCTCACTATTGAAAGCTGGCCCCCTCCCTCTTGGGACTCCCCGAGCAGAGCTCTATCAGACCCACAGGGAGCCGAGACCCCCTGGAATGGATGGGGAAACCGAGTCCTCGAGGGGAGGGCGTGGTGGCGATGACGGGGTGAGTGACGGACAGAGGGAGTCACAGGCTCTGATACTAAGAGAAGAAAGAGGCGCCTGCTGGGGTCCAAACTCTCCTCCCTCCTGGCCTAGCCAGAGGCGGTAGGGGCTGGGCAGTCTGGCCGAGGTGGCAGCCCTGGCCTAGGAAAGCCCCCACCCACCACCTCCGGGCTGCTCACAGCGCCTGTCATCCCACAGCGCCCTCTCTGGCAGGACCCCCCTACCTGCCAGCCGGCCTCCGTCCAGCCTTAACGACACAGAATCAGCCCTGCACCGTCTGCCTCGCAACCGGGCCCAGAAGAGCCTGCCCTCCTCTCTCCTCGGAACCTCTCCTGGACCCCCAGGCTCTTCCCTGCCCTGGGACAGCTCTCCCCACAAAACTCTCCGAAGCCAGTGGCAAGGCACCCTCCACCCCATTTCAGGAGGGAGACGGAGTCGGGTGGGGGCGAAGGGCCTGGCCCAGCCACCGATGTAGCAGGGAGTCGCAGCGCCTGAACGGGACGGGGACCTGGGGGGACTCCGGGTCCGAGGCCGGCCCCGAGGGGGCGGCAGACTCACCTCGGGACTTCATCCCGATGAAGCGGTTCTCCACGATGTCGATGCGGCCCACGCCATGCTTGCCCCTGTGGGGAGAGGGGGTCACTCGGAGCCAGGCCCTGCCACCGGCCCGGCCTCGACGCCACCACCCGCGTCCGCAGTTGGGGCCCATCTGGGCTGTGCCCGCCCCAGGGCCACAGGCAGGACGCCAGGCATCACCTCGGATGTCCTCAGACTTAGAAGACTGTACACGTGGGGAAACTGAGGCCCGGGCACAGAAGAGGTCGCTTGTCACACGGCGAGTTTAAGGCAGCGGTTCTCAACCTGTGGGTCGCGACCCCTTTGGCGGTCGAACGACCCTTTCACAGGGGTCGCCTAAGACCATCCTGCATATCAGATATTCACATGACGATTCATAACAGTAGCAACATGACAGTTATGAAGTAGCAACGAAAATAATTTTATGGTTGGGTCTCAACATGAGGAACTGTATTTAAAGGGCCAGAAGGTTGAGAACCACTGGTTTAAGGCGTAACTGCCGTGACCTCCCTATTCGGGCCTTGCGTGGCACCAGCCCCAACCTCTACTCATTGTTCCTGGTCCCAGATCCAGCCGAGAGCTGGAGGCTCCAGCGGGGCTGCTTCGAGGTGCAGGAGACCCCCCTGGGGTGTCACCTTCCAAGACAAGGCCGCAGGGACTCCAACCAGGGACATGGGGCGGTGGCCAGGCTGCCTGTGGGGCGCAGGCCTGGCTCCGGGGCCCCTGGGCAGGACCACCAACCGCAATGGCCGGCCCGTGCTGGCCACAGACAGCGTTTCCCGGGGCGGGGCGGACACTCACGCGATTTCGTTCAGGTACACGAAGAGCTCCAAGGACGAGCGGTGGGTGGTGCCGTCCTTGACGTTGGTCACCTTCACGGGGACCCCTGAGGCGGGAGGGGAAGGCAGTGGGCCTGGGGCTGGAGCTCCGGGGGAGCCGGGCCTGCCACCCCGCCCTCTCCCTCCGCCCGCAACGCCTTAAATGGATGTGACAGATATGGACTCCAAATGACTCCGTGAAGAGCCCTGTGCAGGCTGAGGCCTGCTGGGGGGAGCGGAGGGGCGAGAAAGCCCCCCGGAATGAAAGGGAAAATGCAATAAAAACGCTCTCCCCCACCCTTCCCATTCTCCTTGCCCCTTTTGCATTTAGGGGCTGTGAAATTGGAACCAGGCCCTGAACTAATTGAATTTCACGCTCCACCATTGTCTTATGCCAGGAGCACCTTCTGTCCCACCAGTTACCGGGGGGCCGCCCGGCCGAGGTGCACACACACACACACACACACACACATACCCTGCGTGTCTGTCAGGCAGACCCCCGGCCCCCAGCCCTACACCCCAGTCCCGCACGCAGCCATCTGATTGATGGGGGTGAGACGGTGCCCGCTCCAGCAGGCACCCTGAATTCTGAGAAGTGGGGTCTGGGGTGGCAGGAGGGCAGGAGGGAGGTGGCCGCTCCGGAGGGACCGAGGGGGGTGGAAGGGGGGGGCCAGTGGGTGGGTTCGGGGTTGACTTTGAATAGCAAGGGGCACTTTCTCGAGCGGTGTGAAATGAGCAATAAATGTATTAGGGGACTAACAAGAGAGCTGTAACAGTGACAAAGAAAGGCTGTTCAAAGTTGGCGGCTAATCCCCCACCCATCTGCCCAGCTCATTACCATGGAGCCGGCGACCGGGTGCCAATCAGGGCTCAATAGCGGCTTTCGAGTCTTTATTAGCCGGGCGCCGCTCGGAGGGGCTTCGCTCAAGGCGCTGTCAGCCTCCCCATTCTTCACCCCCATTTCCAGGGGTTTTATAACTTGGTTGTAAATTGCTATTAAATGTAAGTCTGCCCAATAATGAACCTTAAGCCCCTCTTGCCACCCCCCGCCTCTCCCCGTCCCTTTCTCTGCCTCCTCCGCCCCATTGTCCCCTCCCTCGCCCAGCCGTGGACGGGGCCTGCCCCAGAAAGGGGCTGACATTGTTGGTGCTGCTGCCGGAGAAAGCCTCTTAGCCTTTAAAATAGTTAATAATTAGATTAAAACTTCAAATAAATTAACTAGCGGGTGAATGGGGACTGGCCGGGGAGGGAACCTCCCGTCTATTTTGTTCCAGACAGTCCCCGAATCATGAAAATGGATCACGTTTCCTGTCCGGCTCTCTCGCCCCCATGGCTCTCCTGAGCTCCTGGGGGATCGTGGCCGGGGTGGGGGGGCACTACCTGGGTCTGTCCCACCATCTTCTCAGAGATGATGCCCCAACTAGCTAGGCCTGACAGAGTGGGCACAAGAGGGACTTAGCGCTCCAGTTGCCTTTAGGGGCCTCAGACCGAGAATCCTTAGGTGCCCAAGTGCATGAAACTCAAGGGTTTGAACAAATGAGGAGAAGAACATGCCCGCTGTCTCGGCAAGGCTGCTGGGAAAGGCCAGGGAGAGGCAATAATTAAAGTTCCAAGAGCCTCCATGCCTCATGCCCCCTCTCGGTTCCCCAAACTCCTGCCCAGTATACCACCTCCTCCAGGAAGCCTCCCTGATTTCCCCAGCCTCCTGGAAAGGCTCTCCTTCCACCCAAGCCTTTAGCCTGATCCTGGTCCTGCTCCTCCCATGACCAGGTATGCCCTGCCCTGCCTTCCCCTCCGTCCCCCAGAGCAAGGGGTGTCCCTGGTGCCAGGGCACCCAGGCCAGGCCAGCAAACACTTCTTGGTGATAGCAGTGAGGATGGAGATCAGGACTCAAGCAAGAGTGGGGTCTGAACCCTGGGTTGGGGCATGGGGCGAAGCGTCAAGCAGCTGACTGGGGGCTAGCTGAGGCCAGTGCGGCCCTCAGGCCAGCTCTCTAAGCCGAGTGACTTCCCCAAAGTGGCTGCTCGAGCTGGAATGCTCTCACACTGAACCTGGCGCCTGTGAGCTGGTGGACAGCAGCCGAGGTGCCTTCCTCCCAAGCCTGGAGGCTCCATGGGTCTGAAGGGGTTGGTTGGGAGCCATCAAAGCCCCTGATTGAACTCTGACCTCCAGAAATGCAGGAGGGGTGCCGAGGGCTCGTGCCCAGCCTTCCAGGATGCAATAAGGAGCCAGGGCCCCGAGCCCACCCTCTCAAGTCCTGAAGGGTGGCCACCTACCTCTCTTTCTACAATATATTTTATTGATTTCAGAGAGGAAGGGAGCAGGGGAGAGAGAAACATCAATGATGAGAGAGAATCATCGACCAGCTGCCTCCTGCACACCCTGGGGATGGAGCCCGTAACCCAGGCCTGCGCCCTGACCGGGAATCGAACCGTGACCTCCTGGTTCATAGGTTGATGCTCAACCACTGAGCCACGGGGGCCGGGCCACCACCTACCTTTCTTGAACTCAATCTCAAGGATGTCAGGGGTGTTGGGCCCTTTGGCCGGGTCCTGGGTCTTTGTGTAGAGGCCTGGAGGGGCTTGATTCTGACAAAAGACAGAAAGAGGTTAGTGACCGGGGTGCCCAGAGCCAAGTCCCGCCATGCCGGACCCCGACTCCCTGCACCCCACCTCCTGCAGAGATCTCTGCCCTCTCTAGAAACGGGGGGCTGCTGGCACAGTCCAGCAGGCCTCCCCGCCCCCAGCCCGAGCCAGCCCCGCTTGCCAGGGGCCTGGGAAACAAAGGGCTCAAGAAATCAGACAATTTTTCCCCTCAACTTGATCTCATCTCTTCCTTCGACGCCCCCACAGCTGGAGGTAGAATACAGCAGGAGAGGAACAAGTCAGGCAGGAAAAGGGCGACTCTGGAGGCGCGAGGCGCATTGGCGGGCTTCCCGGGAGCGGGCGCGCACGCTCTCGCAGGCTCCCAGGATTGGGGTTTATTCTGCACTGACCGCAAAGCTAATGACTACGCGTGACCCCAGCAGGTGCTCCAGCGAGCCGAGCCGGCCCCGGGTCCCCGAGGTTAATACTCACAGGGAGAAAACAGAAAAGCAAAGCAAAAACCCATTTGAAAACACATCAACCCTTATGTATATTTTTCCTTGGGCGCGTCAGAAAATGGGCCTCGCGTCTCCACGCAGCCACGGAGGGCGGCTGGCTGCCTGGAATTCTCAAAATTCCCTCCTGCGTCCGAGGCCTCGGCTCCCCGCACCTGCCCTCCCCCCCACCGCCCCCGGGCTCTGGCTTGGCGCTGTGCCGGTGGGACGGGGCCTCTCGGGCCTGATTGCTCATGGCCTGCTGTGGGCACCCCCGGGCCCCAGCCGCTGTCCACCTGCTGGACATCCCTGGGAAGCACAGTCCCCCTAAATCTTTTCCCTTTTAAAACCCTGCAAAACACCCCCCACTCCCCTGGCCCATGGCACAGATTTCTTTTCGAGTCCCTTCCAGCCACCCTGGGGCAAAGCACTGTTAACCCCATCCACCGATGAAAAACACCCAGGCCCGAGGGGGAGGGGCCGTGGCTGCCGCCAGGGGCAGGGCACCCCACCAGGGTCCTTCAACAAACATTGTTGCTTGGTTTTCAGGGTGGGTGGAGCCAAGGCCCTCAGGCCTTGGGGCCCTTGGCAGGCGGGCTTCCCCCGGTTGGGCCCTCCCGCTTGCC